TGTGTGTGTGTGTGTGTGTGTGTGTGTGTGTGTGTGTGTGTGTGTGTATGTTTGTTTATAGATTTAATTTATTTTAAGCTTTTCTCAATTTGTTCTAAGTTATTCAACATTAGGAAAAAAAAAAATGTAAAAACATACTTTGCATTATGTGTGCACAGAAAGCCGGAAAACTACAACTTAAAAAAAAATTGCATATAATTCTCTCTGATATTTTCTTAAGATTTTCAAATTTACAATATCGCTTGGTGATAAAGAAATGACGCATATATATTTACCTTTCGCCAACGAGACGACTGCGTCTTTAACGGCATCCGCAATGCATTCTAGTACTTTCGGGTCCGACTTCTTACAAGTCTTGAAATTGCTGGCTGTAAAATAGAAAGAGAGAAAACTGTCGTGTGTAAGTTATTATATAACTGACTGCATTGCTGCAGATCCAATATAAACCTGCGTGCTTACTCTTTAAACGGTTGCTGCTTTCTCTTTAAACCTGCACGCATGTTAATTTCGGTCAACAGTTTAACTCAATTTAATAAAAGCAATAAAATTGATCACCAATGGATGTAATTGTTGATTTCGATGTGACACTATTTATGATTCAGCACGTGACTGATTTTTTGATCGAAAATGTATTATTGTATTTGGCTGAGAACTGTAAGACAAGTCCACGTTTTAAAATAATTTATTATTATATAATTTTCTAATGATATATTTCTTGAAATATAAAAATTTACATATACATGTAATTATTATTGTTATTACATGTACTATTATTAAAATTATTTTAGATATACGAAAATTTAATTAAATAAATTTTAATTTATCTAAATAATTTAAAATATTAAATCAAAGTTTATTGTGTTAAATTCAATGAAAATTTGAAATAACATTAACGAAGTAGTCTATAGTTAAATCATAAAACTAGTTTTAATTTTTACTTAGGACCTCTTTAGCTAGCAATTGATTATGAAATGACTTGGAATGACTTAACTGATAGACAGTTCATGGTCGAGAAAAACCCGAACAAAGACTGGGAAAAGTCTGAGAGAGAGAGAGAGAGTAATCATGACTAATTTCAATACAATTAAAGTGTCATTAGATTATTAACTATTTAATATACGAAAAAATTAAAATAAAATAAACTTTTTGTGATGTTTTATTAATATTAAAAAATATAAAAATATTTAAAATATCTAAAATTTATACTAAAAATTTAAAATATTTTATTACAATCTTTAAAAATCTCAAAATTTGTCACATGTATATTTGTAATATATTACTTCAAACATATTTAATATTTAATATTTAATAGCTTGATAAGCTCTCTTAGCAATATTTTTGAAAAAATGTCTTGATCAAAAGGAAGGTACATGGTGTACAAGTACAATTATATTACTTACGGAGATCTAACGCCGTCGTGCTTGCAATCACTGCGATCAAGAGAATTGTCCTCATCATTCTTGAATGTTATCCTCCGCTCGACCAAAAAAGAAGTGTCTGCGAAATATTCAGCAAAGTTAAAAGTTATGAACTGGAAGACGTAGACACAAATCCAGGCAGGCTGTTTAAGTACTGCTTGCCCCACCAGTTTCTATACTGGACATCGTTTATACATACTGTGTATGTATATATGTATGTATATATGTATACACATGCATTCAGGGTGAGGCATAGAAAGTGAACACCTGTTATTGTCCAGTAACATGTCCAGGATAGGTCAACTATCAGTCGCCGTGACTTATCCGCTCGAGTGATTATTTGACGTACCAATGAATATTAGATAAAGGTAATTTTATGTAATTGTAACAGAAATCGATCACGCATCATTTGAACGATCTTAAAGACTCATTCATGTCTACTTGCAACCTACTTGCAAAATATATCCTAATTTTGCGATTTTTTAATCTAAACATAATATATAAAAAATTATGAGAATATTCACGATAAAGAACACGATTACTTTTGATCGCTCAATTATGAAATTGCGTTAGTAATATTTTCCCGTTCGCGTATAACAAGAAATCGAAATTTTAACTGGAATGTTTAATGTTTTCTACTCCTCCAGTCCATTACAGTCATGCTCTATTTCGAGCAGTTATTCAGTTCAAATCTGAATCTACAGGTGAAAACTCGAAATAAGTTGCCTACTTGCCTCGAATGATTGTAGGATTAACAGTTTAAAGTGATTCATAATGTTTTTGGAAGTGAAAAAAAAAATAAAAGAATTGCAAACGTGTCGCAGATAACGTTGCGAATGGATTTTATCAGAATTATGATATTTGTAAGCCCCTACTGCATCCGTGCGTTTACTCTGCCGAATTTGAATCTTGACGAAAGGTTGTCATTGACGCGTTTATGCATTTACGACTTGTAAGTACGATCCTATACATTATTCACCGAACGCTAAATAAGTTAGCACAGATTAATTACTTCTGTAATTTTTTTTAGTAAAAAATTTTGAATTACAACGTTATTCTATTTTAACGCTATTTTACATTAGATAATTATAATAAAATATTTATTTACTTTAGTAGTATTTGACAATCTTCTCTCACTTACTCTTTTCTTTTTCTTTGGTAAAACAAAGACGATTCTGAGGCCATAGTATCAAATTTATGTACTAATTAATAATTTATGTTATTTAAATTACTGTTGCGAAGACTCGTGTTCATTCACTACTACTATCACAGATTGTGATGTCAAAAGCGAAAAAATCTGCAGTAAAAATTCTTGCAAAAACGAAATAAGTTAATGAGAACTGTCAAATTAATAATATATAAAATGAGAAAACCTTAAAATATTATAAATGTCAAAGAGAAGAGAAATGTCAAAAGTTACGATATTTAATACAGTTGTGCTAATACATTAAAGATTTTACAAATTAAATTCACTAATTGTACTAATGTCTTCCTGTAATTTTATTTTCCAATTGCATTTTATTTAAATAATCTGTAGAGTTAATTTAGACTTCAATTTCTATTTCGCACGTGTGTACGTGCATGTTTTTTTTTTCTAAATTACTGAAAGATGTAAATGTGTGTGTGAATTTAATTGCGATATTTAAATGACTTATCTGTCTCAACTCAAAGTGAAAAGCACGTATTGCTTTATTCAACGGAATAACTCCTTAAAATTTCAGAGAACACTCGGCAATGGCCTTGACATTGTTTAAAAATGGTTTATGAATCACTCCTCCAGTAAGACATATACGCCATGCAAATTTACGAAATTGATACATGTAGAAAAAGAAAAGAAGTCTTTAATTTCTATACAAGTTAAATATTAATTAATTAATATTTAAAGATCCAAATTAAATATTAATGGTTTTTTTTACATTAATTTGTACTTTTTATTGGTTTTCTTGATTTTTATATTTGGGAATAAATACATGTAATCAAGAGCTATATTTTTTGCGCATTAAGATTTAATAATCGCAATTAACAGAATAAATATAAGCTTGATATATCGTTATTAGATACAGTGAGTGTGTAAAATAAAATTTTTATTATGTTAATTATGTAAATTTTTTTAAAATAAATATATGTAGATTACAATATTAAATGTTTGAAATAAGATAATAAAAAAATAATTAGATATACGTGTGATAAACGGAACGGACTTGTCAAACGGAAATGCCAAAATAAAATGATATTACGGCGTCACTTCTTTATTAGAAATAAAGTGGCAATATAAAATGCATTTTTATTCAAGATATATTTACATACACCGCGTAAAAGAGTAAATATATAAAAGTTAAGACGCGATCAATGTTGATATTTTTATTACCAAATCTTTGAGATAAAAGAAGCTACCTTGTTCTGTATCCCAAAGCCCTAGAGTCCTATGATAAAAATCAAAGTTTGAAGACATCATATATCACTTCGGTTTCATCAAAGAGCTCTTTTCTGGTACTTGAGCGCCAGGCTATCTAGCGGCGGTCTAGCTTTCAGGATTCCGAGATCAACGGCGTGCCCGGTGAGAGGACAGCTCTGGCATCGTTTACGCCTATAACTGGTATTGCAGGCACTCTTCTCTTGCCGCACTACGTATCTGGGAAAGTAATGGACGCGCTTCCTCTGCGTCGTCGCGCACGGCGGCACCGTCACCACCAAGTCTTGCTTGTGAATCCTGCCTATCGGCTCCGGGAACAATCGCTCATTCAGCAGATACTGCTGCAACGATCCCGAGGATCGAGATGACGTCAAGGTGTTGCTCGAGCCATGCGTCTCAAAATAATTTTGCTCTCGATACCTTCTCAGATTCTCCATTTCCTCATCCATGGAATCCTCAACTTCGGGACTATCGTCGTGCCTCAAACATCGTTCTCGTCGTTCGCAGTATTCCGGTAAATCGCGTCTTTCTGCACGCTTATCACCGCGAAGTTTCGCAGTCTTCCTCTCCAGTTCGCTTCTGCAGCAACAAGGACAATCTTGCTTGCGCAACTGCGCTGCTCTTTTACCTCGCACCGGCGATTTCGACGCGGGTATTTCGCTCGACTCCGGTATCTGCCTCCTGGATCTGATAGTCTTTCGTAATGTTGACTTTGACAACTTTCGCGGAGACACTTGAGTTCTTTTGCTCGAAGCGCAGGCGACGTCGTCGAACCCGTTTTGTTCGCTCGCCAGTGAATTTGCGGGCGCCGTCGGGGATGTCGGAGATTCCCGCCTCTCGTCGACGCGCTTGCGTTCACCCGGCAATGCCGTTTTCTTGTCGGTATCCCGCGTCCTCGCGCTCGTCATGAATCGGTGGTAACTGGACGATCGCGGACATGCCCGCAAACAGTCTCCCTGATCCGCGGCCCGTAACTCGCAGATCTTGCTCTGTACATTGCGAAGAAATTGAGATCTGGGCGCGTAGTCGATTTTCTGAACTCTCCTGAGCGTCTCGCAGCTGATCGGCGAAGTCAGTCTTGCTGCCTTGTCACCAGTCTCTCCGTTGGGTTTCAGCTCGAGCTCGTCTCGGCAATGACGGCAGGGCGACACGGATTTGTGTCGAGTTCTCGACGATCTTGCGTGCGTCTCGTTCACCCCGAAACGACAATAACAACCCTTTACTGGCTTTCTAGGTGCGACTTTCGAGCATTGTTCTCGGGGCTTCTTAGACATCAGCGTGAGTTTTCCAGATGCTAACATATCTGAGACTAGTGTGATTGCACGTTTTGGACTGAAAATACTCTGGAGATTCTAATTGACTCTTTTAGTCAATCAAAGATCTGCAAAGAAATAATGAAAATTAAGTTACTTGAAGAATGATTCATATTTCTACTTGTACGCAAAATATACTTACAGTGTTTGCGAACGTAACTTTTTCACTTCAACGTTGTGACTCTTTTAGAATCTTCAACACGTGTTCAAGTTTGTCCTTTCTTGTAATTTTTCTTGGTGTTGTCATTCATCGTCTCTCTACCACATGTTTAAAGTTTAAGGCGGATTGTCATTAACATTATATTGCAAAATTGGATCGTTTTTAATTGTGCAGAATATATCATTATTAGAAGTCCAGTTTAAATATTAATACAATTAAATTAAATGTTAACATGAGAATTATTATTAATAATCAAGGCTATTTTAATGACCCAAGCTCCTGTGAATTAAAATTAATTTGAACGTGTAACATTGCAACATTATAAATATTTTTTTTCACGGATATACAATGCAATATATACATGATTGTATGGGGTGGGTTTTCTTAACCTAGCTTTTTTGTTTTATTCAACATTCATTCACAATTTCTGCAAGAAACCCATTGAAATTATCACGATACCCTTATGAACTTTCGCTCTCAATAACGTACTTTATGCATGCTTCGAAACTTCGGATACATAATACATACTAATCGCCATCGACGCGAAATTAGACGCGAGTCCACTGTAAACAAACAAAAAGGGACGCTCCAGGTTAGCCAAACTCTAAAAGACACATTCTTCTCAGGCATCCAACTCGATTGTCGTTAATCAGAAAAACGTTGCGTTTCGTCGAGATTGTGATATAAAATTGCGCGTTGTTAAAATTTGCTCGAGCGTTTGCTCGCGGTACGGAAAAAAAATGGAAAAAATTCCACTCGCGGCAACTTCATGACGCTTCACTGCCGCGGCGAGCGCGCGGCGCGCGCACGCGTCGCCATTCGCCATTGGTCGCCATGATCATATGGGACGCCGTCCATGGACGTGTTGCGCGGTCTTTAGACATAGCTAAATTTAACTAGGTAAGACCCGCGTTGATGTATCGCGCGACGATACACCGTAGGTGATATCCTAATTCGCGTAGCTCTGTGGCTCTGCTGCGCAAGATGCGGATGATCGCACGATCCGATCTCGTTTTTCCACGCGGACTTTGTTTTTTTAGGTTAGGTTTGCCGTTAGGACGTCGCCGCGGGCACATCTTCCGCACGGGTTACACGCGGCAGTCATGGATTTACCTGGGAGCGGGATGTCTCGCGATCACATTAAATGTCCCCGCACGCTACCGCAGTTTTCCGAACTATGCTCGATGCCTGCCGTTGCCGCCATTGCCGCCATCGCCGCAGCCGACGGCCGTAATATGCAGTCGCAGGGGATGCAAACCACTGCCCAAGTAACGTTCCCGCAGGACCGTACGTCGGTGAGTCTTCCCTCGTTTCTTTGCGCCGCATTTCCTCTCATTTTTCTCATCAGTTTTGCCTATCTTGTTTTGCGATTTAATATGTAAAATTTTTCTTGTTTCTTAGACGAGTACGTTCAACAAGTTTTTTGCGACGCCTCTACACGGCTGGCAGGATATGATTCAACTATGTCAGAAGCAAGTCCTTGGTCAGACAATTAACGTCCCGAATTATAGTCAAAATAACGGGACACTCGGTGCACAATCAAGCAATTTTAGTTTTATCAACAATCTATGCTTACCTTCCACGTCGCAGGCAGATACTGTAAAGCAAGAGCCTGATATCCAGCCTAAAGAAGAGAAGAATTTAGATAAGGTAAGAGGTATTCAGTAAATATGGTTAAATTTTTTAATTATTTTTACATAATGCAAAGATATATTTACTTGTGAAAAGATCAACAGTCAAAATATGAGCAAAATAAGGATGTTAAGTTATATGTAATGTGAAGTGATATTTAATTTATTCTCAATAGTTGAATAAAAACATTGAACTATTTTGAATGTACTTAATCTTCAGCAATAATAATTTACTTGCAAAAATGGATGACAAAATCAAGAATAAAAATTAATGAAAAGAAAGAGAAGACGTATAAACAGAAATTACATGATGTAACAATGAGTAAATACAGAATAGAAAACACAACAAAAGCAAGTTTGATGAGAAATTATGGTGAAAGTCGGAACCATTAGGGGTATTCAAATAAGTTAGAGTTTAACGGTTTGACAGGTTATGTCGGGTTAAAGTCGGGTAAAAAGTTAATTTTTACATTTTTAACCCAAAGATTAATGTGATAGGTTAATGAAACACTTATGTATTTTGCATAACATTAAAGAGTAGCGCGCCCAAAGTTAATTAATTAACTTTTTACTCGACTTTAACCCGACATAACCTGTCAAACCGTTAAACTTTAACTTATTTGAATACCCCTATTGTTTATAAAATAGAAATATTGACCATTAGGGTAAAGTGTACATAAATGGATTAAATCAATAATTAATCAATGATATTGAAGCATTTTTCGTCGTTTAGAGGCGAAAATATGTTAATACCTAACCAGAGATTTTTGGCCGTTGATCTTTTTACTTAGCTTCTTTATTAAATTTATATTTATTTATTTCTGTTGCCAGGAATCTGATATTTTGGTAAGGCAACAGCAAACAGCAGCCATGATCGAATATCTCCAGAAATTATCACCTGATATGCGGGAAGCATTTGAACTGTGTGTGGAACAAGCGAAAAAGGAGAAGACACGGGAGGAGAAAGTAGAGCACACGCAGAATAATATTCTAAACATACCAAATATCAGGAATATCTATTTACAAAATGGCAACAATTTCGCGAACTCGGATCAGATAACGGTGACCATTAATCCGAATGATCTGAATTTGCAAAATGAACAAGAGATTGAAAATAGTTTGCGACACGTCCTAAAAGTCGAGCAGCAAGTACAAACCGATTTGCCGAAAATCGAGAAAAAGTCGAAATTTCGAGCGAAAATGGGCGAGATTAAGGTCAGCTTTAGCTACGATGGCACTACGCTTTACTGTTGCCCGGAGTGCAATTTAGGGCTTCCAGACAAGGCGGACATCGAACAACATATACAGACCCACTTACAAGTATGTATATATTTCATTGTCTTTGATTCTTGGAGATCAAGATTGTTAAAAAATATCATGTATTTAGTAAAAAATTTCAATTTATTTCAGGAACGAAAGTATCAGTGTAAAGAATGTGGTGCCATGTTGAAAAGAAAGGAGCATCTCGATCAGCACATGCGAGGTCATTCGAATGAGCGACCTTATAAATGTGACGTATGCCAGAAGGCGTTCAAGAGAAATGAACATTTGACAAGACACACCGTCATCCATTCCGGCAACAAGGATTTTCCGTGCAACTATTGCCAGAAAGCGTTTTCGCGTAAAGATCACTTGAACAAGCATCTTCAAACGCATCTTGGCATTCGTAAGAATAAAATGAAGGATGATTCTTATTATGTCGATCAAAAAGATACAACAAGAGTATTTGATAACACCGATTTCCCGGTGACGCCTAAGCAGGAGGTAAGTCATGTTCTGAAGGACAGTTTGTTACTGAAGCAGGAAACTTTTCTGCAGCACATGCAGAATTGTTCAAAAAATGCGTCTCTGTTTGCCTCCATTAAGGAACATGTGATGAAAGATGTAAATACGTTTGAACAGGCACAGAGCAGTAATACGAATGAAAACGTAAGATATTTAATGCCATCTTAGCTGTAGATAAAATATGTTCCAAAGCAGCAATATATGGCAAGTGATGGGGCCGCCTAGGTAATTTCAATTTTCGAATTCGTATTTTGTTATTGGAACGACTATGACTATTTATAGTTTAATTTTAATACGTCGAGACGTTTTAACATCGGATTAAAGGCATATGTAAAAAATTGAAAAAAATTGAAAAAAATATATTGCGTATCGCGATAAAGATATCGTACAGATATCATACATACATATCTCCTCTTTTCTAAAGTAATCGGGACCGAGCACATTTTCTCTATTCTACAATTTCTCCTCAATCCTCATTTTTATACTAATATCACGTATACAGATATCAAGATATTCTTGCACGATCATATTTTCGCTTGATTTACGACTTATAGCGTAATATGTTATCTGATCATGTAATACAAGTTGCGGGAAAGCAATACAAGAGGAGAAACTCAGTTTAGAGGAAGCTAACATAGAGTAGAGGAAAACTTAGAATAGAGGAGTATTGTACATCATACATAGCAATCTCGCAAACCTTTAATGCGATAAAACGTGGAAATAATTATACTAAGCTATGAGATAAGCTGTGATTACCTGAATTTATCATCATTGTCCTTATATTATCTCTTATCATCCTTCCTCGTCATCTCCTTTTCATCGTATCATTTTTATATCTTTTGAAAATTAAGTTTTACAGTTCTAAGCAAATATTAATTACAAATTAATATTTAAAAATGTGAGAAGCATTTATTTGATAAAATTTTGTTTTAAGTTATAATTTTTTTCGTAAACATTACTAATGAGTCACATTCATGCGAGTACACGCATATTGCCGTTCTTAAATAAATTTCGAAAGAAAGAGAAATCGTTAATACATTAAAAGATTATTGTTAATATATTAATTATTTCTTTAATTGCCTTAATTATTAATTGTTACTTTTTAATTGCCTACTCTTGGTTCCTTAAAATTTATTTATTCTAAGATTTTTCTTGCATCCTATATAAAATGAACATTTTAAAACGTGAATAGAAAGTCGATGAGAGGAATTAACAAGTAAGAGAAGGCCAATTTATGTAATTGCATGCTTGTCTGCCTTACTTAAGTTAGTCATAGGGAACATTAGTTATTATCTACAATTCTAGTCCATTGTCGTTATTTTTAATTTTAATAGTTACTTGCTTTATGCAAAGACTTTTGGACATTTGGACTTTCGCGATAACTAAAACGCATTTACAATAAACCTGCGTAAATAATTAAGAATAGGAATAATTATGAGAGATATTGCTATAAAATATATCGAATCGATAGAAGCAAGTTTGCCGATAGATAAAAGATGTCTCCTTTTAAAAAGGAATGCCATTGAATAATTATTCCGTGGTCCAGATATTCGGAAGTTTCTCGCTCTTTCATATGTAGTACTTTTGTTGCATATATTTTTTTATTCATATCTTGAATTCGGAAAACAAATCTATTAATAAATATATGGACAGATGATAACAGCATAATGCTTGCGAATTTAGTCAAATTCTGACACACTCTTACTAAACTGATATATTAGCAGACATTTCGATACGAGGATTGAGATACTGTCAATGGTAAACGGAAATAATATACTGCCAGAAATTTTATTAAAAAGTTATAGGTACATTATTGTCAGGTGGAACACAATATCTATCTGGCAAAATATTCATTACGATGAGTGTTGAAACTCATTTTTTCAGAATAGCAATAATTTTACCGAAAATATCTAAGAAATTAATATTTTATTCTACTAAATGTCTCGAATAATGTTTATAGATTTATGTTTACATAATACAGAAATGTGTTCCAAATACAACATAAAATGAATGCTACAGTTTTACAATTCAAAATTGGTATTCTTATACATGAAAAATATGCACTAATCGAAATTTCGTTAAATGACATTTGCATTGATTTGTCAATTATTCAGATAATTTTTGTAATCTAAATCTATCATTCCTTATCTCTTTTCTAAAAGATATTAAATGCCCGTTTTACCAACGTTGTTTAACTTGAACCTTAGTTTAATCCAAAGAGACAAAGAGTGAATTGAACTAAGGTTCAAGTTAAACGACATTGGTGAAAAAGGGCATTAGTGGCTAAAGTTAAACGAACGTTTTGCATTTGGTATTATTTTTAGGATACTAACGCCTGTTCGGCGCTTCAATTTTAATTTATACATATACTAGAGCGAGAGCTCGTTGAAGGACTTCCATGTACTGTGCATTCGCGAATATAATTATAGTTCTCTAACGTTCTCTTATGTGTATGCGACACATATGCGATTATGTATGTATGCATTAGATATATGAATTAGAAGACGGTACTAAAAACACATATACCGAACTCTGGTATCAGTAATATTACCAAAGACTTCATACACACACGCATATGTTGAATAGCAGTATTCTAGGTCATTCGCACTGGGGTCTTTTTTTTTTAATTCTTTGTAAGATCCTGATAATTTAATAATGTTTATTGAATGAAAGATCTTTGAAAAAGGATCGATGGGACATCTTTTTCGAGATAAGGCGATGATTTTTTCACCATGGTTTTTCTCAATTTTTCTCATTGAGATTAGAGATAATGTAATTTAATAGAACTTTTTAAACAATGAATGTGCATTTATAGGACTCATGTTTAAGCACTGTTTTGGGCAGTGAAGATGTGCGTTTACAAGACTTTATGCATTTATTCAGCTAAAGAATTGTTATTGTATAGTAACAACAAAAAAAAGATAGCTAAAAAATGACATGTATTTTTCAGATCGAAATATTTTTGAATAAAATATATATAATGTAAATAAAAGATTGCAAGATATTTCTATGTACTTCTCACGAGTGCATCGAGTGCGACGAGTGTGTGCAGTCTGTGGTTGAGCGCCGCAGAAAATAGCGTTATGTAGTCTTACGCAATGTCATACAACGAAATGATCGTCTGTGACACTAACGCGGAAATATTAATACATTGAACTTTATGTCGCCTTCAGAACGAACTCTTTGCACTCGGAGCTTCAACGGGACGATATAATATTTCATATTCGTACAATATAAGCATCCACATTGCGTTACTCGTATAATTCGAGAATTAGCAAAGCATAAAGAGCACCATTATTTAATCTCGTATAACGTAAATTTTATTTGTTTTATATATTTTTACAGCGGAATACGCGAGCGGAATATGACAGCAGTACAAAGGTATAAAATTATTTGATATCTGTGTGCTGCCCTCGCTCCCCCTTTTTCCTCTTATTATATTTTATACCAAACGTACTTAACTGATGATTAAATTCTCATGTTTTCTCGTACTTTTGGTGTGCATTTAGCGTTAAATGTGAATGTAAATGTTTTTATTTATTTATATTTGAACGCAATTTTTATATTAGATATAAATTACAATTGCAGATATCTATGTTACGTACATTTTGGACTTACTTACAATTAGTAGATTTACATTTACAACAATTGTTGTAAATGTAAATCTACTAATTGTAAGTAAGTCCAAAATGTAACAAAACGACAGAAAAATAAAATAAAATAGAACAAAACCTCTATGTTATGTTAATTTAAATTAACATAGAGGTTTTGATCTATTTTATTTTATTTTTCACACACTGATAACAAAACGACAGAAAAATAAAATAAAATAGATCAAAACCTCTATGTTATGTTAATTTAAATTAACATAACATAGAGGTTTTGATCTATTTTATTTTAATTTAAATTAACATAACATAGAGGTTTTGATCTATTTTATTTTATTTTTCTGTCGTTTTGTTATCAGTGTGTCACCTTTTCGTTGCCATAAGCGCTCGATAATTTCGTATAAATGCTGTAGGTAAAGCCGAAAAGAGATCCAAGCCACTCGAGCAGGCGATGGCCCACCGTCGTCGGAAGGTCGTTTGGCGTCACGATTTCCACTTCATATTTCTTATCCAGTTCTTCGTTTTGCAGCTCCAGTTGCCCCAAAGGCTCAATGTCATTAAACCAATCGTCGTCAGGCAGTGTCTTCCTTTTATCGGAACTCGTTTTGTTGGAACTCGTAGAAGTCACGTTGTTCTCGTTCGTTTTTATTTCGATGGTTGAGTCCTTCTTGAGATTGCTCGAATTTGCCTTGTTACTGTGATTCTTTATTGTCGACAGTGACTTTACCTGATCTAGGAAGCTATTGTTGGGATACTTTAGATTCGTATAGTTATCTGCTTTTAGCGTGTCAGCCCAGATTAGTCTTAGGGATTGCAAATTAGGTTCCGATGCGTTCTTCGTCAGGGTCTTTTCTACGTTGCTAGTGTTGCCGGGTTGACGGAAAACAAAGTTGTACGTTGTGCGTAGTTTTTCCCAAACTTTATCCAGCGACTTCGTGGTGTTGTTGAATTGTTTGTGATACGCCGCTAGTCCTTCCGCTGGGAATAGCTTTGTTATATGTGGCTTTGGTTGCACTCTCGTGGCGAAGAGCTACGAGACAAAAGTTACGGGAGTTTACAATTTTACATATCTTGACACGAGCATTTTTTAAATATTATATTTAAAAATTATACGAGATCTCTATCTTTATTTTATTGTCGGAGTAAGCTTATACATTTATTAAAGAGATTATCAGGTTCCTGTAAAAAGTTATCAGGATCAGAAATATTATTCAACAGTCGAGTGAATCTTCTTCATAACATGAATTTTATCAGGCGTGATGTTGTAAGACCGCGGATAGGTGATACAACACATAATGGTGCGTTGCAACACGTTCATTCGTTGGATCTACCAGCGATACGCGGTAGTTTCATTTTCACGAAAATTATAAGTCGCGTCTGTAATCGCGGTTGCAACTGACGATTTTTACGCTCTGATTAAGAATAAATGTTATTTAGTGGAAAGAACCTGTCACTACGAAATAGAAATAATTATGTTTAAACCTTTTCTAGCATACGACGTTCTTTCTGGTGGTATTAAGAAGTTTGCTTGATAAAATATTCCGTCAATAGAAAATCGCCAAAAACTTCCACGTAGCTTTCGTGCGAAGCATAAATTTTATATCAGATGTGTTGTTAGTGCAACCAGAAAGAGTTTAATAGTTTATTAAAATTGATCGTAAAGAGATTCTTGGGAGATCCTCGGTTAAAGTAAATTTTAGCGGATGTCCTGATGGTAGAAAATCACGAATTTACAACCTTATAAAGAAAGCAGCTTACAAATAAAATCGACTAGAAATAAAATGGTAGAATTTAGATTTAGAACAAATAATTATAAAAAGTCGCAGTTGGAATTAATATGATTTTAGCAAAGATGATAATATATATTTGGACAATCATTTCCGGAAGCTTTTCATAAATTTTTATAAAATTTATACCAGAAAGTCTATATTGACTAGAAAGAATTTAATATTTTTTTAAATTAGAATTTCATGTTTTATTTAAAATATAAAATTTTTTTATTGATTAAAAAATAGTTCAATATTATATTCAAAATTAATTAAAAGAGTCTTTTCTTGTGTTGTCTCTATCGATAAATTGATATACAATACATATTGTTCACAAAAAGTGTAAAAATTATATACAGGAAGAAATTTATGGTTTCGATAAATTGAAATTAATCAATTCTGAGGTAATTAGGTACTTACGCAAAGAAGACAATATCCCAAAAGCTTCATGCTTCAGAAGATATTTTTTGATATGGATGATTAACGACTTTCTTGGACGGTCCGGACAATCGACTGAAGGCCCCCTTCGATTTCAAAACCTTTTTATACTTATGTGCAATGCAAGAGCGTAAGCGTTCACCACGATTTATTGGCTTTTGTGGCTTACGTTCACATTGTCTTTCGCCTGCGCCTCTGCGAACCCGTCCCCATGGAGTTGCCCAACGGAATTGATAGTCGTGGCACGCATGGTTGCTTCGTGGCCAAATCGGCTCGGCTCGTCCGAACAGTGTACGATATTGGTCACCGATTTTTATGGCAGGTCAAGGTATTGCCACAATTATGTCAGCGCTTCCATTATATCAAATTCGTGTAGTGCGAAAATTTGCATCGAGCGCAAACGAAATAACTATATTCAATGGCTTCTTTCAGTGGATGAAGTTACGTCAGTCTTCTCATGAAATACCAACTGCAGCGTACACAGGGAGGAAATGAAACTTGGGAGGACGGTTTCGTTTTTGCCTCTGATATCATCAGAAAGCGTGATTTATTTAACAAAACATTTGTGGATAATAGAATGTACACGTGAGTAAAATATATATATTTATGTAGTATAAATTTACAATAAGAACCCCGACGGGTACGGGGAGGGGGGGGCAAGTTTTTATGCTTATCATAGATCATTGGCGGTAACGATACAATTTAAATTCCTTTGTACGAGATCGCGGACTATTTTATCTTGATGAAAAAGCTGATCTGGTGTGTTTTTTTACCTTTATGCTCGAACACTCAGATGTAGGTACGATATAAAGAAAGGAAAAGTTACGTGTCTTTCTACGAAATTGTTTTACTCACCAACTTGCGAACAATAGAATCTTTCGTTGTGGTTTGGCGAGCATTAAAATGTAAAATATAAATCGATTGAGACACGACTAAGGAATGCGTTTGCTTATCTTATGAGTTTGCTCGATCATTACGTATCGATTCGATAATACGGAGAGTAAGAGAGATTATCGAAGATAATGTTTCAATTAACGGAAAAGGAGGAGGGGAGGAAATAATTGCAGGGTGTGCTAAAGTGGTACGTTAATAAAATTTTTACGAGAGTTTACGTTGGCTTAATGAAAGGGGCTGATACGCGAGGGAGAGCAGCAGCACTCGGAGATAAATCACGAAAGATTTAATAGTTGAGTCGAGTTTTACGAGGCAAATGACGTTAATGGAAAGATAAAAAGAATTTATTACACAGACGAACAATTACAGTACTTAGTTACTACAGATGTGCATAAGAAGAATTTCGACTTTTTCACGGTGGATCGCAAATAGCTAGAAGCGAAAACTCTGTGGAAAGTTATCGTAGATATAGCAAATAGTAAGACAGTACAATGTTTTTAAAGCGTGCAGAATTGATTCTTGTTCGCGTACCTTGTCCTTGTATTAGATCAAAAATTTTGTGCGCGATAACCGCGGCATCGTGCAATCCCTGTTTGAAATATTAAAGCTAACAGTCCATATTTTTCGCAAATGCATATATAAATTGATATCATCAATTTAATTAAGGGAAGAACTGATGTGTTTCAATGTGGATTGCACGATATCTAAAGTATTACGATTATGTGAAATCGTGACTCGCAAGAATCACAATTTGTCATTTAGTAAGTAAAATTTTGTAAAATTTCAGATTTAACATTAGAGAGCGAGAGAGAGAGAGAAAGAGAAATAGATAATCGAAGCGTGTGACATCTAAGTGTTAAGAAGATAAAAATTGCAGCTTCTTAAGTTTCTACAGACATCTCTAGAGTCGTGGATCTTCGAAAATTGACAACGGAAGGATTTCACGAATTCACGATTACATAAGTAAGAATAGACGTATCGAAATAATATATCATAATACATTGATTGTCGAGAGTAAAATCAAACTCTAATCAGATCTATTAATGCCTCGGTTGAGCATCACAAGAACTTTTGGTCGCGATATCGGAATGCGGTGATTCGTCACATCTAAATCGTTTGATAGTAATCTAAGTTTAAGGTGTACTTATATATAGTCTGCATAAAGTGTGCATACTATATTTAATCGTTACAGCGAGATTTAGAAACAGAGTGCGCCTCTAATACAGAATATAAAATATCTTGTGCAATCTGTGATAAAGAGTATATCGCAATTCGTAAAATGCACATACGAATGTATATATATATCTATAATCGTTTAAATAGCAATAATTGTATACCCGTAACAATTCGGAAAATGTCTACTTACAACAATTCGCATCGAAATACGCGTCAAAATGCATTTAATTAATCATTGAATGTACAAACTGAACAAAATTAAATTTTACTACAAATTGGTAAGCGTAGAGAAATAGTTATATAATAGCATAATACAATAGAAAGTAGAACAGAATTATTAGAATAATTAATTATTAGAATAATTAATTACTAAAATAATTAATATTGCATATAATAATAAATATGGTATAATTTCAACGCATTTGTTATCAGTAGACGATTCATCCGTATTCCTGGAAGGATTTCTGGATCCACATTAGCATCCTCTCCTTTAACTCTAAATGCAACTGCCCGCGCTTTGAATTAGACAAACGTATTTAGGATTAATCACGCGACGATGCCATGCAGATCTTAATTTATGAGGCGCCGAATATATCTAGTAAATGTAAACATATTAGGAAGTGTATGTATATTGGTTTTCTTCATGGTGAGATTCGCCACTTTTATAAGGCTCGTTATTCCTGGCCTATGCAATAATCTGGAGGATGAGTCGGTTCGCATAGACTTGGAATTGTCACGGCCAAATGAAAGTCATGAAAACGCGTGTGCTCAATAATTATTCCTATCGAATAACAAGTCCGTCGCAGTCTCCGAGTGGCAATTGTATGCGCTGAAATAGAGTGAGATACGCGCGAGGCTCGGGACACGATACGTCTCGAATCGTCCGCTACCGTGAGCTCTGAAAGCTATCTCTTAAATTCATAACGTTTGTATTGTGGTCCCCCGTGTCTCAATAAGGTTCGACAAAATCACGAGTCTCTCTTTGGTTGCCTTTTCTTGGTCGTGCGTTTGGCGCCGTTAATGTGAATCATAAATTTTGAATACGATAAATTGAATTCAATTAAATCATTTCCAGTTTCTTAATTACTTGTAATTTAACGCCAAGATTCTTGAAAATAAGAGATAATAAAAAAATAATTAAAAGAGACAATTTATCTTTAATAAAACAAATGTTTGTTTATATAAAAATTATTCACCATTTAAATGATCAAAGTAATTAAAATTAAGTAATTAAAATAAAGTTTATTTAAATTTAGAACGCAAGCGAATTATAAATTGCAATTATAATTCTACTATTCTAATAACTGGAATTCAAGATATAAAGTGTAAATACCATAACTTAAAGTACTAAACTATATAAATAAACGAGACCTACGTTGTTTCATATTATTGTATAATATTTATATATATGTATTATATAATTTTATATGAATATAATTATGCAAAATTATATAATATTCTATAATCATAAAAATATATAAAAACAATATCATAAATGATATATATAACTTACATAATACAAAATTTAATATTAAACAAGAGCTCATCCGTATATTTAATGGCACGAACTAAAGAAGGGCGTCGTTGTATCGCGGGTTTTCGTTTACGAGCCTACTTTTTAAAAAATACGAATATCATCCATATAAAATATGAATATAATATACGTACACTGTTTATATACAATATCTATGCAACCTACGCACCTTGTAAATCGAAATAAGTGAACTGCGAAAGATACAACGATCATAAAATCTCAGGCATGAGCGATCTCTTGCCACATGATTATTTTGCAGCGGAAAATATGTCGATTAAATAGAATATTTTGTTATGTACGGATAGGTATACACAAGAGAGATTACTTTGTCACGACGCAAAAACGCAACATGTTCCATTTTCGCGTTGATGTTTATAAACTATGCATGTTTATACGCGATATGCATATACGGGTAGTGAAAGAATATCGAGATTTCAGAGTTACACAATTATTATCGTACTGCGTAAAATGATCGCCGAACAATTAAATACAAATAGATTGACTATTTTATGACATGCAAATTAAGATAACGAAAGGAAAGAGAATCTTGAACAAAATTTAAAAAATATGAAACAATTACAAAATAAAAAATTTAATATATTTCAAATATGAAATTTTAAAATATGTAAATCGTGAAATAACAAATTATTTTATTAAAAACGTATATTATTATTTATACTATGTTATTATATTAGACATTACGTTTTTATTTGGTAAGATTATAATATAAGATTAATCATATTACATATAATAATATATGTAGCATTATATATATTATATATTATTAATGTTTATAACATGTATAATTAAATATATATATAGTATATATTCTATATATTAATCTATAATATATAATACGACTAATCTCAGTTTTTCATCAATTTTATTTTTAAAATATTTTATTATAATTTTAATTATTTTGCATAAATATATAAAATGATTGGATATAATCAGAAAATTATTATAGAAATTTTTTCTCTTTTTTTATGTATTAAAAAGATATTATTCTTATGAATTTTCTGATTTTAAACATACGCAGTTTGTTTCTGTTTTGCTTAAATAGTAATTAAATATTTTCTCTTACAGTTTCTTTACTAATATAAAAAATCTCTTCGTTAAACTCTTGTTTCATATTTTTCGTGTTCATAAACTATTTATAATTTATATTTATACAAGCATATTTGCCGATAGAATCTATTAAAAAATATTCAAATTAGCCGTCAACGTGAAATATTCTATTTTTTCAAATGTCGTTTTATTTAAATTGTGATGAAAATTTAGTAAATTTAGCAACGAATGTGCGTGTTTGTAAGATGGATGTTCGCCTTGAATTTCATCGATATTGAGCGTGGCAACTATAGCAATGCAAAAACAAGTTTAAAAAAAAAAAGAGGAAAAAGTATTTCAATTCGTATGTTGCTCTTGCCAAGCTTTTGGCATGACATTTTTATATTATGACGTACAAAAAACATAAAATGTTTCTTCAGTGGTTCTCTTCAGTACTGGATTGGATATATACAATTTTTAATTTTGAAATTATTTATAAATATGCGCGTTGGACGCATATTGTTTTAAAGATATTAATGGAATGAAAACCTTCGGCGAGGCATGTCTTAATTTCGGATCATCCTCCGCAATAAATGTATTATCTACTTTCGTTACCTTACGTTATTTTACACACGTGGCTATAACGTTTATAAATATTTGATCGCTTCGTCAATCTTTAACAAAACGCGGCATAGTGATCCGCCCACACAGCATGTATTGATATTGAAAAAGACGTCCAGAAGATATCCCGAAGATATATTTAGGCGATAGAATATCTTCGAAATATCTTCTGGACGTTTTTTTGATATGCTTGCTGTGTGGGCGCGTGTCTTTTTGTCATTTTTTCATTACTGATACAAATTGCTTTTAGATGTTGCCAGATGAAAAGCAGAAAAAAAAAAGAAAATGATATTTGGTCGATTATTTATACCGAATGTTACTATGTTGTAGTAAAAAAAATTTGCCGAATTTTTTATTTAAATAGAAAATATTGGCAGTCAATAGCGAAGTAAATATAATAATTTTTCTATATTTCTTTTTTTTTAGGAATGTATGATGGAGCTATTTATGCGCGAGATGATTAATTGTAAATAACATCTTTCCTATTCTATCATGGTCAAATAACAACAATAGCCAAAGGTACACTGAATATTATCGTAATATAATGCGGAACGTTTCAAACGCGACGTTACATTTTTAATCATATAAAATCATTTGAGATCTAGCAGAAACATTTTCAACAAATCCTTGATCCGCTGTTTTCGTCAGCCTCGCCGGTTAGAAATTTTCACGTATTCACAAATAACTCATGGAGCTCTTACATGCGAAACTGAAGGCAATGCCCCGTGATTCTGACGATACAAGCGACGAGAGAGTGAAATCGATAACGGTTCTCTGGAAGATTAAATTTTCGTTGGTTCGTTCGACGATTTCGCCTTTTGATATCGCCGTCGCTTGTTGAATCGCGATCGATGATCAGTCCCGACTCTATCTTCCGTTTGACGTCGGCTCGTTTTTCGATCGGGATTCGGTTTTGTGCTACTTCTATCGACAGTGGCACTACCTCCTTTCAGTTTCCGTCACGGGCGATAAAGGATTTTCCACCGATAATTGTCTGCCAACACGCAAATAAAGGAGGGATTAATTAAGGAAGGAATTATTGAAAAACAGATAAGCACGAGGGGATGCTAATGCACTATACATTTATATTGCTTTTTATTACTATCGGTTGGTTTATGTTATGTCATGAATAGCTATGCGCGATTTATTCTTTCGACGTATAAAGATAAAAAGAAATGCGTATTATCGTTCACTTTTAATGTAAAGCATCAATGCGTATTACAAATTGAATAAAATATCTCGGGTACGGAAAACATTTTACGATTGCAGAGAAACCTTTCAAACAAATCGCTCGAAAAAGAAATCCCCTGTCGAATATTTGCATTTACTTCGGCAAATGCCTGTTTCAGCGAGATTCTACTAAATAAAGCTCTACAGTTACAGTACATAACGGATGCAAGAGAATTTAAAGCGATATTTGAAAAATATATAGGACTCCCTTTTCCTCTTTCCGAATAGCGTAACGTATTTACCTGCCGCTTATGTGCCAATCGTAGGAATCTGGCGCGGAATTGCTTCTCCCGGCCTCGTGAAAACGTTCCGCTTTCGCGTCTCTCATCGTGTCACCCTGCGCCGAGGGAGATACCCCACTTTTTGGTCCAGCCGCCGGGGATTCCGTGCCGGCGTCGTTGTCCGCTGTCCGTCCGAGCCGCTTAGGCAGAAATGGATTCTAGGGAGCAGATATAGTTCGCGCGCTTATTTCCCCGTTTTATACCCTAGTAATCCTAAGGGACGAGATGTTCGAGCTCTCTCTCGTAAAGTTCGCAAGTCGGTCATCCGCATCGGCAATAAAAATGTAAATTCGAATGGCTGGTCCTTCGCGCGAGTCTCAATCCACATGAATGATAGAGGAAGGGCAAAGCGTCCCTGACAGATCGTGAAAAGCGATACCGCCGCGCCGTGAGTTTGAATGTAAGAATATGGTTTCATGCTTGAGGTCATTCAAACACGTTCTTAATTAATTACGACTGTCCATCATCTCTATTCTTAAGAAAAGCTTGAATGACTTGAAGTCGACTATTCACATCGTTGCTTTTTTCCCGTTATCTCACTTGATTCTTGTGTTATCAGAAATTTCAGAAAAAAATCAGTGTTTGGACTTCTATACTTATTTATAAAATATTATAATAAAATGTGTCATTATTCTACATAATCTTACAATTATAATTCTTTAAATTATTATGTAGACATGTATCATTGGATAGTGTAGATGAAATAGTCTATTCGGCCAGTTTGGTCTTTAAGACCTGTATAAATATGGCGTTATGTTGCATATTTAATTGTATTGTTAGCGATGGTATGATCCGCGTGACTGGTCTAGGTCTAAGAAGTCGATCGGTATGTTTAGCATCGAATCGTCTGGTTTGTTCAACATATCTATCAATATGTTCAATATAATCATCCGTTGATCATCAGTCTAAGTTTCTTGATCCTAAGATGTTATCACAGAAAAAGTTGATAAATATTTTCAGTGACACGTTTCTTTTTTAGGTTTAACAGAAGACGGATAGTGAAAGCGAAAACGAGCGAAAGCGAAATACATTTAAATGATTGCCCTTTGACATTTGCCAGCTGATTGCACTTTCGGTAATTTCGATGTTATTAAAGAGCACGAATGTACAGTCGCGCGAAATGTCGCCATCAGTTCTTCATGTTTTGTAACACTAAATGTATACGTTATATTGACGTGCACCCGTCGAAACCCGCCGTCGTGTAATATTCACGTGGGCACGCGGCGTTATGTCAAAGTTAAACAAGTCAGAATATATTGCTGCGAGATTTCGCGAGAACGGTCATAGGTTTACGCGATCCGGTCCTTCCGTCGCGACACGATATGGCATCTCCGTTTCCATTTTTGAATGAATGCGATGAACGCAAATTGTTCCGCGATAGAAATGCGACTAGCTGCTTTTTGATATCCGAGCATCATAATCGGCATTCTATGAACAAATCGCTCTTTGTATTGCTGCTCGTGAAAGGCTACGGCCACGATTATGTTAATGATGATTATCGCTACCGTGGAAGATGTCAGCAATGTATTAGTATCGTATTCACATCTGTCGTGGAAAAAAAAAGAATATATTTCGCATTTTTTGACGAAGATAAAATAGACGTTATTCAGTATTTTGTTCACAGTTCTTCTTGTTTGTGTAAGTTTTAAGATCATTTTCATAGCGTTGTCGTATTATATGTATAAATCTAGATTCTCCACTCACCTGAAAGCTGTGCTGTTTCAGCATATTCTTGACGAGGAGCAGGGTGCCGAGTCTTATGACCTCCTCCTCGGTGACGGTGACCCGTAAGCGGCAGTTGTCGACCTCGGCCGGCAGTGGTTCAGTTCCGTTATTTGTCAGCCATGGATGCTGCTTTACCTTCGGGAGCGTGAGCCTGGTTTCCGGCGACTTATCCAGCATTCCCTCAATTAAATATCGCAATTCCGTAGATAAGCGATTGTCGGGGAACACGAGTGGTTTCGAACGAACAACCCCTTGAATGGTTGTGCTATCGGAAGCGCGCCAAGGAAGATCTCCGATCACAAGCGCGTACAGCGTTACCCCCATCGACCATATATCGCAGGGCTGAAATTAAATAAAATTTTATCGTTAATTTACAATTATTAGGTAGATATGTATGCGTGAAATATAGTCGAATTTCTATCGCTTTATTTTTGTTTGAAAGATATTTAGTATTTATTATTTTAAAAATTTAAGATATTTATTGATAAATTATTAAATTGTAAAGTATTCTAGTACATATATTGATAAATAATTTAGTAACGGGGAGTAATATTTTTGGTGCTGTAGATAAATCATGCACAATTGATTTAGCAGAGATATCTGCCCGATTTATCGAATGGTGAAATTAATCTCGTATTCGCAGCATTCAATACGAGTTTAATTTGAAAGCGTATCCAAGTCGTGATGTACGATTTGTGTTATACAATTCAATTTTTCTTACGTTTAAATAAACGATTTTTATATCTACAATGCGATAGCCAAACGAAAATCAATAGGTATAGTAGTGATAAGCGGGAAAAATATCGTGAGGGCATTTCAACCAGGTGGTCATTATAATAGCCGTTTATACAATACGCGAATTAGAATCTGTATAATGCGTGGGTCGATTTAAATTGCTCGATTATACGAAAAGACCATGTCGGCTAAAGCATTGAATTATTGTTTACCGTCGCGACATTTTCTCTCTGTAATTTTGCATCAAACAGATTTTTTGGCGTATTTTACATCAGAGAGTGAAAAATAAAGTTTTTTTAAAAAACATTGCTATTAAACTAGATAAAATATATGGGAGATTATCGTTTCTCCCGCTTTGCTTTTGGAAGTGATACTCGATGATTCTTTTGTAAATAACCAGAGCGTGATATTATTTACTGCAAAATTTATAAATCAAAAATCTGTACTGAGTTAGCAAACTGAATTTGCTGCGCACTAAAACAACCATTCAACAAAATTTAACTTTTCTCGTGTAACAGTTATAGAAACAATTTTACAATTAAAAATTTTATGGTCTCTCTCTTCTTGATTGAAAAAAATAATTACAAGATTAATTTAAAAAATTAATTAAAGGATACCAATTTCCGGGTTTTCACATATCGCTTTACAAGTGGTGATAACAATAAAAAAAGAAGTGTCAATTAAATCTATTCTTCTCTGTGCATGAATTATCTTAATAATTAAGATATTCTCTTTAATCACGTCGCTAAAGAATTCGAACTGGACGCTCTACTCGGATGGCCGCGCGAAGTTGGTCGCGATCACGTAGGGGTACGCACCGCTTACTTCACACCGCGCGTCACCGTTGCTCCGGCGCGGCACGTAGACGAATCGCGGTCATTCGACGTTCTTGCTCAGTGATACTGGATCGAGGATGCGACTCGCGGCGTTTTTCTCCTCATACTTACGTACCCAAAGACTGCCAAAGACGCTCTGTCTGTCCGTGTGACGACTGTCTTCGTGTGCGTAAGTAGAGAGGAGAAAAATGCAGTGGGAGCCGCGTCCCGTCCCGCATCCTCAATCCGGCGATCAGTTGATCAGTGACGCAAGTGTTCTCGCGCGGTTGTTCATTCGTCGCGGAAGAATTTCGCGTACGAGCCAGAGTACCATAACGACCTAGCCACAGTATAAGTATTATAGATACAGTATGCTCACTCCGTGTCGGCACCTTTGATCGTAAGTGAAATGGCCCATGATGCTGAGTGTGGAAATCGTATCTGTCTGTCCTTCTCCATCGCTCGTGGAGAAGGACCGACATACGATCTTTATCCTTCTCCATTTCGTTGACCGCCATATTGTTGAGTGTGCAAACCACTTCACGGGTTTCGGCATGGATGAACATACCGTATCTATATTTATACTGTAACCTAGCGTCGTTCGGGCGATTATCCGGGGCGTGATTTCGGTTTGGTGCGATTCACCCTGGCGCGATCGTGCACCTTCCCGGTATTCGTGAGACGCGTTTGCGATCGGCGCCGCTTCGCATATTCCGTCGAGCTCCGACGCGACGCAGACGTTCGAGAGGCTCCGTTTTTTCAAACGCGCGCGTAATCCGGCGTGATCCCCGTTCGTTCGGCGAGCGTCGTGAGTGTCATTAATTCGGAGCGTCGAGGCGGTCGAGGAACGTTCGAGGGATGCTCGAAGGGCCCGAGGAGCCGTCACGAGCCGGATCAAGAGGAGACGAGACAGAGTGATCCCTGCGATAAAAACCGGTCGGCGTTCGCGTCCGCCGATAATTGTCGTCGGTTCGCCACTTCCTCGGGATTTTCACGTCGTCGCTCGAGAACGCGTCGGTCGCGCGTGACAAAAAAGTGTCGGGACGGATCTGCGGACGATCGCGATCGTTTCGCGCGGGTGATCGATGTCGATCGTCGCCTCGTCGAGTCGGGAGTGCCGGGCGAATCTGTGCGCCGATTAATGCGCGAATTCAATGTTGATCGAGTGGACCGTTCGGAGCATTGATATCCATCGAGGAGTACCGACGGATCATCGCGGAAATCAAAACAGGCTGCGGGACGGCGCGATATCCGGGAGACGGTGAGTGCTTCGCTTATTTCTTGGAATTTTTTTTCGACGCAAGGAGAGAGGGATTTTCTCTTTTTTCTCCGATCTTCCACGGCCCCCACGGTTATTTTGCTATAAACAGCAAAATAAATTTCTTTAAATTGCCTGAGATTGTCAAGGAGGGATTAAGAGATTCTAGGCAATATATATTGTCGAGATAATTTTTAGAATAAAAGACAGTTTGTTGTTTGTCAACTACAGAAAGTAAAGAGCGTGGAGTCTACTAACCAGGTGTTAACGTTGAAAACTTATATTTATGATAAAATCAAAATTATACATACATTTCCGTCTGTTATCAGACCATTTTCAGTGCAAAATTGATTATTTACCGTTAACCTTTGACGTTATCAATTTTACACTGAAGATGATCTGATAACAGATCGAAACGTATGTATAATATGTAGTTTTTGATTTTATCATGAATACAAGTTTTCAATGTTAACACCCGGTTGCGACTCTATGCTCTTTACTTTCTTTAGTTGATTTATTAATCGTTTGAGCCTTTGATATTTAATTTGTTATTTATTTATGATAAAATATATCTTTTTTAAACGATGGAAAGATTTTTATTAGGCTCGTTAAACTTTGCGTAAAATTTAAACATAACCAATTACAAAATTTAATCTCGATATAATTTTCGCATTTTAGAAAATATCTTATTGAAGTTAGTATTTTTTATTTTAAAAAATCTTAACAATCTACGGAAGCTCCGTATACGGAGCGTACACGACACGATAATGAGGCTCGTTACGTTAGCGATCGTTTGAGAATAATGAAACGTGTTCAGTGTAGCAGCTCTTGAAATATGGTAATTAATGCCATTAAATGAGCGACACACACCAGGAAACTGTTAGCTAAAATACATCTCGATGCGCGGCGCAAAATTAACGTAAAACGGAGAATAGAATACAATGCGCTTTAACGCAGTGAGGAGGATGCTTCATTTGCGGAAATCACGTCGCCGACGCGACGGCGAAAATCGCGAGTTCCCGCAATAACGACGCGATGTCGGCGGTACATAATTAAAGGCAATTAATTAAATGAGGTTTGCGCGAAACGCTGGCACGGACGACGCAAACGTGCCGCGTGAATTCAGCGAAGCGGGACACAAACGATAATTATCTCTTTCCATTGTTTAGCTTACTCAAAAAAGCTTTTATTCTTTTAAGAAAGTCCCTTCATTGCACGAGAGCGAAGTAACGCGGTAAGAATGGCTATATATATATTCTCTTCCTTTTGATGCATTAAGATATTTTCACGTCGATTTTTTTTCCATGAATGACAATTCTCCACATTTCAGCTAATTGTCCACGATCCTGCTAATTGCTTACTTTGATAAAGAGATATTGCCTGTATTTTTACAAAAATTTTTCCTGCGCGCGTGCCATCCGTAAATCTGTAAATGTCAAGCTTCTATGTTTATTAGATCCATAAAGGGAATGTTTCTTATGTATAAAAAAAAGCTTACGGGAATCGAGCCTCTGTCTCACAAAGCTAAACTCAACGTCCGTGAACTCCACACTATGACATTTAAAAAATACTCTCTCAGCCGCGTCAGGCGTAAATGACGCATAAATAATATCTATCTGATCTTTAAAGATTAACTCCCGTACTATTTTCTTTCCCCATCTACTTCAAATCGTCGGCCATACATTATCGTTCCGTAAAACGGTTTTGTATTTTGCGATACCCGTGTGGTTTTCGAAGAAAACACCTCGAGCCAAATGCATGTGCGCAACTATTCCGAGAATAAGATTCAGAATTTGTAATGCAATCGCGTACGTTTATATTCCTCAATTGAACAAACTCGCTAACCGCCAAATTAGTTAAGCTTTTCTGGGTATTTCAATAAATATGTAGAAACGTAATGTGCGCGGTAAACGAGTGCGAGTTGATTTGCAAATGTTCCGTGTTTCTATTGTATGTCACTCTTTCTGTCGCGCACGTTTTTGCAATTGAAATAACCCTTTTGTTAGAATGAATGAATAAAATATATTTTTGGATTGAGATGAAAATTCATAAGAGAACGCGCAAGCTGCAAACTTTATAGTTTGCAACCCCTATTTAAAGATTTATCTTGCCTCGTGTAAGGTTTTGTTAAGGTTCGACACATGCTTAAGATTATCCAACTAATAAGATTTCTTATCTATAATACGTGTATCTCGAAAACTTGCTTTGTGTTATTAAATTTTGAAATTTTCTGGAAGATGTAGTTTTCCCTACGGAATGCTTTAACGCATCCGTTCCATTAGCTAACGCATTCTTAAATAGATTTGCCGGTTTTGTAGTAAATAGGTATGACGTCCATCGATCTCTGCGTTTTTCAAGAGCAAATGTAAAATAAATTAAAAACGAACTTTTTGAAGATGATTGAAAATCGTATTTTAATTACGATAAAAGTTAAGCATTTCGTATTGAACATACGTAGAATAAATTGAGAATCGAGCTATTCGAAAGATTCGAGACATTTTTGTCGTAAACATGAAGTACGGTAATAAAAAGCAGTTAAAAACATTCTTTGTCGAGAAAAAAGGTAAAATCTAAAACCGATATCTGTAAATATGAGCGGAAAAAGTGTATTATGAAACTGGCGATTATTATAAAAAAGCGGAACCACGTATATATTGTGAAAAAATATTAGACTAAAATAACGTTGTGCGAATAAAAAAAATAGCACAGGATACGAAAAATCTAAAATTTTTATAAAATTTAAAAATATATACATGAAGGTTTATCTGAAAAAGTATTGTAAATGTTGGATTTATTGCTTTAATATCTTAATAAATAAGGGTTATAACGTTAAATGTAAATATGTGTATCATATTAATGATACGAAATTTAATTTATACCGAAAAACAAAAAACATATATATATATAATATAAAGATAACGATTTATTTCAAATTTTAGTCAAAATAAAATTAATTCACTCAATACTTTGTCAAATAAAAGCTTTTATTGATTAAATTTCCGGGGATAATTGATGTTTGCTACTTCATGATGACATTTTTAATCGAAAAATCAAAGCGAGAATTAAATAAATAAAAATATTAACGAGAATGCGAAATTGCGGAAGCTATTATTTCAGGAAATTATAAATATCGAGGTTCGATTGAATGTGTTACGCAGAATAAAAATTGACATTTCTGGCCAATGGAAAAAGTACATAGTCAATATTCAAATAATATAAAAAGAAAAATATTAATTAGATTTCGTGTGCTTAGCGGAACATTGCTCCAATTTTATCACGATCTTCCCATTTTTCTCGCATCTCCATCGAAATTCACGAGATTTCGAGCGGCTGTGCGCGTTTTTATTTAAGGATCACGAACGATTTCGCAGGTATTGCTGTAAACTGGCGTTTTCACGTAAGCACCGCCGTCTCGTCAGGATAGTGGCCATTTATTTTGCCACGGCGACTTGATTAAGCGTAATCGAGCGTGTGGTCTCGCGGGTCGTGAGTCTCTTATTATAGATATCGCCTTTCCTCAACGACGACGCAGCGGAAATTCAAGCGATCGGCCGTGGTGTGTCGATAAGGTCACGCGATAACAGTAGTCTCGGCCAAGTAATCTTGAAGATATATGGGGACAGAATTATAGTTGCCGTGCTAAATTATACTCCTCTCTCTTTCTCTCGCTTTCTTTCTCTCTCTCTCTCCCTCTCGAACGGTCAAAGGAGTAATAACAAGATTGATCAGTGTTAATTTTATGCTCGCTTCTAACCAAACAAGATTTGTATCGTTTTTGCGACATAGTTGCGATACGACAATTTTTTCAACACAAACACATTTTGATTTAGTTGGTACGCGTGCTATACTTCTTTAACGTGCGTGCAAGCATATATACTCGTTGACGAAATATATGTTACTATAATTGGCATTTGAGGTAGATGCAAAAGATATAATTAGAAATGAGAGATACGAAAAGAGGAAACCGGAGACATAAAAAGAAACAGTAGGGACGTTGATAAGAAAACCTTGATGATTATATTAGAGTTATGAATAAAAGGTTGATGTGATCTAGACTGAGAGATAACTGAACTGTGACCTTTCCTGATAGTTGCGCATTAAAGAGACAGCAAAAAATAACAGTTGGCTCAGCTTTTTGTATAATACATTGCATGTAAAGCAAGAATTAAGACATCTTACTCGTACATCAAGGTTAATTCGATTAACTGTAACATAGCCGGGCTAAGATAACTGCAGAGAAATTAGCGACGATCACATGCATTATAAGAGAATTGAAAAATTTATAAATAACGATATGATAAATTTATAGATAAACAATACGAAAAATTACGACCATTCGATAATAGTATAATCTTGATATAATGTATTTTTATATATTTATTATAACATTTTTTTTTTCAAATATACATTTATTGCGTAACATGATATATCGTAGTTTAAAATTCAATCGCGGTATTTCGATTATTTTTTGTTGCAATAAATGTTCAGAGACTTCACAGGAATACACTCGCGTAAATTGTATCGCATGGTAAAGCGTTGATTGAAGAAAAAGAGAAAAACAGGATGAAATATATAACCGTTCAAGCTTGGCAATTATTATCTCCATGTTTTCTCGAATGTATGTACATGCGTGTGTATTACGAGCACATATTTTCATTCCGTGAAACATCGATATCAAGTTTATTCGCGAATAACAAAAAGCTGGTTGTGCTGTAAAATTTTCGCTCAGGGAAAATCCATTCGATCGAGAGGAGATCGTGACTAAAACAAAGAGAGGGCTGTGTACTTCGTAAGTATTTTGTGTAAAAGTCATTTCCTGTAACGTTGAATATATGTATCTCGTATAATCCTGTCGTTTCGCTGATTGAGACACTCTTGTTAAGTATACAAAACCGTCCCGCTTGTGAAATGCAAAACTTTCTAAAATTCAGAATTAATCCGCGATGCCGTTCTTTTTTCCCCCGGGCTTAGAGCCTTAGCCTGCAACCTAATGAACTTGACGCAGCTGGGACACGCGAATTGCCTCGTCGCTGCATTGGCCACTTTGTCGCGCTTTTCTTTCGCTTTCTTTGTCGGTTCGTAACATTGCATCACTGCGCTCAGTTCGTACGGAGACTATTCGGGGCAGGCGATGCGACGCGCGCGAGTTTAACTTTAATTGAAGCGCATTTAATCAGTCGACCGACGCCTGAGAGCGACGCGGCCAAAAAATTTCTTTTTGCTATAATCTATAAATCACACGAACGTTTATGCGTGGCGCGAGGGGTCCTTGGTCGGGAGCCTCTCTCTCCCGATGCATGTAGGTCAATCCGCACGTGTCGGCTCCGCGGTTTGAGAGGTCACTGCTTGCGGGTGGAAGTGACGTGTAATAGCCGGCCGATTTATCGACTTTTAATCCCGCGGAACGAGATCGGCCGCTTGGATGCACGATGCACGCTGTGCACATGCGTTATTTGTTTTGTCCGGCTCTGTTTCACTGCGACTCCAATGCCCCGCGCCGTTGTGAATCTCGTTGTGAATATTGCGAATGTGTATCGCGAGCGTATCGGATTCCGCGAATGGATGAGCGGGACAGAGACGCGTGTCCAGCGTTCAGAAAAATCCGATTTCAATAAGTGAGATAATAGAGAAGAGAGAGGAGAGAGATTGGAACAATTATACGAATTATATAATGAAGAAAATGGGTCGCGTATTAAAAAAAAAATTTGCGAGTAATAGTATTCTTTTTCTTCCGTATCAGAGGCAATAATTTTTAGTTATTGCTATATTTTCATGTGGCCACGCAACAGTTTTCTACTTACTGTATGGCTATATAACGATAACGACAACTAGCACTAATTTAGTATTTCATAAATAAAGTAATATTACTTCATAAATATAAAGTACTTATGTGTCGCTGCAGATTTATTTCTATAATGGAGGATTACATTATTCAGATTCCGTTTGATCCGGGTTTTCTTTTTAGACACCGAACATCAATCGTACATTATATTGGGTGAATAATATAACGCTACGAATACTCACCGGTCCCAAGTACTGCGCATTAGCAACGGTTGTTTCGGGCGCTGCGAAGGCCGGCGTGCCAGCTTGTCCTGTCAATAACTCTCCAGATTCTCTTAAATCCGTGCTGACGCCTAAATCAGCGATTTTAATACTGCCGTCTTTGTCCACCAGTAGATTGCTTGGCTTTATGTCACGATGTACTATTTTCTGATAATGCACTGTGAAAACAAGTAAATACCATATAATACCTTTTTCGACGAACGTGATTTTAGAATTTAGTTTAAAAAATTTGAATATTATGTTGAAGATATTTGTAGTTACATAGAGTATTTCTAGATAAGGTTATAGACATCGTATTTACGTAACAAATAAATACATCTTATTTATCCCCCCTCCCGCTCGTGAAATTAGACCGGCTTACAAGTTTTTAAGTCGATTATTATCTAAGCGCAGCTTTATGTTTTATTGAATAGTGTCTGACACGACTATACTACACTCTCATGTGTAAAGTATACTAACGCGGTTACTGGGTTTACGTAATGCATGTGACGCCTCTTTCGTCATTGATCCGCGATGAACGTTGTGATCCATAATAGGCACCAGATATATTACGCAAATCCGCATGTCGAGGGGATTTGCATTCTATTATTTAACGCGTACGTGATAAACATGGTGCATGCCAAATGTGGACATACACTATACGCAATGTGATTAAAATGCGAATCCTCTACATTTTGAAAATCTCTTCAGGAGATAAAAAAACGAAATTGAAAAGAAAAAAATTATAAATTTTTAAATCTCAATAATTATTATTCAATGTGTGATAACATGAGTAAAATCAATTTCAAAACGTTGCATGCATTTATTATTCCCCACATAAAGCATTTAATTTTAATAATAAATAATTTGACGAAGTATATGTATAAAACTTCTTGGATTTTTTAGGAAAAATTTCTTTGCAATAGATCTGAATTTCTAAGAAAACAGAATATATGTAGATATAATAACTTACAATATTCGACTCCCATGACAACATCGCGAAAATAACGCCTGGCCGTTGCCTCATTCAGAGGCTTGTCGGTGGGTATAAGGAGAATTTCACCCCTGTGGACCAATTCGAAAATTAGGTAGAGATTGTTCTTGTCAGGATGGTCGAGCACCTCGACAAGTTTCACGACGTTGGGATGATCGAGTTTCTTCAGGATGGCGATTTCCTTGTAAACTTTCGCCAAGGGATCGGCGCCGGCTCTACGCGGTGGTATCCTCCCAAATATCCCCGTTTTCTTCATTAATTTCCTTTTGCTCACTATCTTCATAGCGTAATACGTGCCGTCCTCCTCGTTGAAGACCTTTTTCACGACACCGAAGGAGCCCTGTGCACGTGCGAAGTGATGCATAAGTGAAGGCGCGAAAGCACATAGTTGACAGCGCGTTTCTGTACTCAAGCGAGGTGACATTTGAATTTTTCAGGGGTTTTCTTTGCGTGGAATTCTCGATTATTACTGTTTAATTCAACCTTTAATTCTCTCGACATTCTTGACAAACCAATGCATTATTGAGGGTTCTTGAGAAGATCATTGTCAACATGAAGAACAATTTTATTTACGCGATGTAGATAGTCTATTTGCATTAAGTTACAACTCGATATTTGATTTCGATAAAAATAGTAAATTATTTTAAGTATTTCAATGGAATGATAATATTTCTTAATACCGTATTTATATAACTTGTCTTTTAACAAAAATTATTTTTATTGTTAGAGAGTATATTTTCTTTCTTTTCAACGATTTCTCATTGACGCAAGTTTCAGGTGGAACAGTGACATTGATACGAAAAATATTATTAAGTAATACTCCGTGACATGAATAGGTTTTCTATAAAGAGGAAGTGTGTTTTATCGATAATCTCATGACTCTCTCCGCATCCTTTTACCTTAACCTTGCAACCCTTTTTGTGGTTCAGCTGCGCTGTTATCATAATGCGCTTTATATCACCGTGGCGACTAGGTCGAAGGTCGTCGGCGATGCTATCGGGAGTGGAAGCATAATTTTATAGTTCACGGTATGGTCACCTTTGAGCACGTCCGGTCGTGGTCGTTATTTCGTTATAAATATATAAGCGACGAGAGCAAAATTTAATAACGTATCTGTAACATGTATCTTAATCTCGCATCTAATAATGAATATAACTTTCCAAGGTTGACTTTATGTGGTTTTGAAAATTTATATTAGTTGACAAGGATAGCTTGCCAAAATGATTTGTTATGATTAGAATGTTATTCGTATCACCTACGCAGTTATCAATTAGAAGTAGTTAATTCACTCATGAGATATAGATTAATTATCAGAAATAGCTCTTGACACAATGTAATACTTGGTATAATGATTATCTGGTTTTTTTTTTTATCTCGATAAGATCTTTACCGTATAATTATGTATAGCGAAGAAGGATCGATGTAACGATATTGCCGAGAAGGAAACAGATCGATACATTAATATACTATTTATAAATGCATATGACGGCGGCGATTGCGCGATTTCGAACACTTCAATGTCACGGGGTTGAAGTAATTAATCGTCGGCATTAAACTCTATTCCGATCGATGGCTCTTACCTCGACGAGGAATTCAATCTCGAGTTCGAAAGCAGTTTTAAACGATACGGTAAGGGAAGAGAAGTTAAATCGTGAACTTTGCCAGTCTGTCTCTCTCTTTTTCTATTTGCCGCTCATCGAAGATAATCTCACGCGCGGAGTGACATTTGCCCTTGTTTGTAAAAAGTATTTTACTCTCTCTTTTTCTGCTTGTCCTCCTCCCTCTCTCTCTCTCTCTCTTTCTCTTTCTCCCCAGGGAAACGATCTCGGGAATCCCTGGCGCGAACCTCAAGATCGTGCGCAGCAAACTTCTCTCGCAGTTGGAAGCTTCGCGCTTTTCACTCAGTTATAGCAAAGTGCGAAGTTATTGCGGCGGTTGTCTCGTTCTCTTTCTCGTGTTTATTTTGAATCCTATCACGTTATACTAGGTGTGTAAGTATTGAGCTCCACAGTCTCATTTTCGCGCGGGCATTTGTGTGGGTTTTCATTTGAGGGGCGAGCGACTTTTAACCTTTTTGTACTATACTACGTTTCAAGTTTATTCAGTATTATTTCCTTAGGTAATTCTCGCGCGGAGACGGTTAAACGTTTTTATTTAAGTTGTCGCTTTTGAGTCCTCATTTAATCAATTGAAATATCAACAGAAAAGAAGTCAAGCCAGAGATGAAAAATAAATGTATATATTTCAAACAGAGAAATTCAACTCATTAGATAAGAGTTACACAGCAAACAATTCCTGAGAAAACGCGTCAGCAAATTAGCGTAGACCGATAGACAGGAAAAAAACTGCAATCATTTATCTCGTAAATACATCGACAATTATAATGATTAAGCGAATGAATGCGCATAAAGACGGCGGCAAAAGCCTTGACGATTTTAATAATTTCTGCGTCGTTCGAATTTCCGTTCCCTACAGGCAATGCTGCGTTACCGGGTGCGATATAACGTGATTATCGGTAATAATTCCGTAACTGCGCAGCTGTTAATTACTTCTTAACAAGTACGAAGGATGGACAGAAGGGGAAATTGCTGAAAATGATGACTCGCGGTACGAGTTATTGGTTATTGGAGAGGAAGCGTCCGTGCTCGATATCGATAATTATATCATTCTCCCGTTTGTTACGTGAGCGCCGTGAAATGGTTTCGCTCTTCAATGAGAGGAATGCGATACGTTGTTGATCCTCTTATCGACAAATACAGTTTGATTGTTAAAATGCCGCGACCATAATTGAAAAGGTATTAGACTGTTGCAAACTGTCCAATGTCCGCCACGAAATTGACTTGGCGCAAAATAGATTGTAATATTTTTCACTTATATAGATTAGGTCAAAGAGATGAAATTTTCACACTTTCTCGTAACTTTAACAATTGAACAATTATTTATTACTTAGTAAGTTTTTAAATAAATTTTACAGTAGTATTTCGTATTATCTTGGGAAATAAATTTTACGGTAGTATTTCGTATTATCTTTCCATATAGATTTGACAAATTTAAAACTAATTCCTTTCTAATAAAGATATATTAATAAAGATATATTTGTACGATTTCTAATAGTTTTTATATAAACGACTAAGTGTACGTAGGTATATAAAGATTTTGGGGGCAAATATAAATGACATAATTATCTCTCTTTCTTGGTTTTGAATGGATTTTAGTGGAATTAAAATCTTACCTTTCCGATTTCGTTCAGCACTTTGTATTGATTCAATTGTTGGCCGTCATGTTGGCTATCGACGGAGCATTCCCTATTGAGCGCTCGGATGTGTTTCCTGGGCAATCTATGAGGGCTGGCGTGAGGGTAGCGAGAATGAACGGATTTGTAGGTGACATCAGCTTTCTCGAACAGTCGCTGGCTCGGTCCTGCTTCGTCGGGTAAGGATAATTTTCTCAAATCTATAGTCCGATTATTATCCGAGGCAATAATAGTTTCCACGTTTGTCTTGTGCACATTCTTACAATTCGAGTTGCCGCTAGCAGAATGATCGATGGTTGTGTCGACCACTCGCTGAATCGTGTCCACCTCGTCTGATGGTGCATTTTTGTCGTTATTGCACGGAAGATAAATATTGGGGTTCCTGAAGATAGACGTCACTTGGATTTCGCCTAAGAAGATATTGACAACGGTGAAAATTCTGACAAATTAATTTTGAAGAAAATACACATTTTATTCCGTCATTTTTTGTCTTACCATTAAGCATTCCATTAAGTAATAAAATTGAGAGGGACGAAAAATATAAGTTTTATAAAAATAAGATTATATTAGACAAGTAATCTGTTTTAAATAAAAATAATGTATATATTTGATGAAAAAATTGATTATATATATAAGAACATTTTAGGCCGTTTTTTGTTAAATCTTTTCATCCACGATATTTATCCGGAAGATTCTCTAATTACCCGTTCCACGAATTTCAAGAATTTCGCTCTATCTAATTTGAAAATCTATTATAGCTCGCATTGGTAGCGACGTTTACTTACTGAGACGCGTTGTCAGCCCATCATTGATCTCCTGGGTCTGGAAACTCCTCTGCCGCGGTAGAGTTTTGTTTCTGACAACCTCCTTTGCCTCATCAACGTTGGGCATGTCGAGGCCGGAGGAGCTCGACACCTTTCTGTGTATCTCCGTCGTCGGCATTCCCTTTGCTGTATCTGTGGACGCCTCAATGTTCTCAATGTTCTCCTCAATGTTCTCCTCTTTTCTACCAGCAAGATCCTTAATCAAGGCTCCAAGAGTTATCGGTTTCGATTTGTGTCTCTCCTTCTCTTGCTGTTGCGTATCACCGCCCGTTGCGGAATTTCTTCTATTATCCTCGAAGCTATCTCGACGGCTCACGTAGCCGCTGCTCTGTCTTCGAAGAACATCAGTGGTGGCCTGTGTCGCAGTCTTCAATGTACCCTCTCCCTCTTCAAGGTACAGGGCGCTGTCTTTGCGTACTTCTTGGATATACTCCGGGCTCGACAGTACTTTCGATGGACCCGGCGCATCCGTCGATAATTGTTCAGCGTCAGAAGTACCTTTCGTAGTGGGTGAATTTGTGGGAGAGCTCTCGACCGCAGAACCTCTGAAAGAAAGAAAAGAGCGAATTTTTTTATGTGTGCATCACTGTTGAAAACTTTTACAATTATACGATAAAACTTTTAACATTTAGGAACTACATTTATATCCTGCAGCATTTTTTTTTTTTTACATTATCGCCATTTCTTGTCATCGGAAATTATGCTCCTTCACAATACAGCGGATTGACGTAACTCTTTTCTGTAGTAAAAAATTGTGTTATTAATAGTACGGACGTCCTTCTACGACGTTAATTTTATGATAAGTAAAAGTTTACTTTAAAAACTTTGGGTTATACCATATGTCATTTGTATACCATTTATAAAATTTATAAGATTTTTTTTTATCAAAGTTTTATTTCCGTATTATTGCGCCGTGACGTTTAAAAATGCATACTTGCAGCTCGATAAGAAAATGTCAGACAGCCAACGCGCAGTATAGTGGATTATCGTTTATCGAGATAATCGGTACGATACTTGACGTCATAAAATAATCACGGAACGGGAGAAAGAACGTCATCGACACGCGATTAGACGCCTTTAAATGACCACGAACGACATAAATAGAGCTTTGACAATGGATGAAGTCTCATGTGACGTGATACATGAACAGCTCATTTATTGGCTTGCGTTATGTTGATAACGAGGCACAAAATACCGATAGATCAAAGTCGAGAATAAATAACGGTTCTGGTGTTCTTTAAACAACCTTGCTTATTCTTGCATTTTTCATTTAACACGCTCAATAGCGTTTCTTATATTTTTCATTGATAATATCAATGAAAGGTATTGCAGTTGCGCAAAAGTCGTATCCTTTTATAGAAGAATTATTTATATATCTCTTTCCGAATATCTTCTAATAATTTCAATACAAACAAGATATTAAATTAGTACAAAACTATGTGAATCATAATTATATTTTTTGAACTTATTACTGATAAAATAACATTGAGAAAATGATCGTAACTGAACGAAAAAGCTACAAAAAACTGTAATTTTACATAGTAATATCAATATTATTGTTAGAAAACTAATTTTTGTGGTTGATGCATTCAATAAAAAGAATGCAACGAAAGAATAAGAACGATTTTGTCTTATTTATTCATTATTGTCTTATTTACGGAACAAAGCAACGTGACATGTATGACTTCGAACTTATAGTCTTGGATTATGTTTGTTAATCTTAAAATTCTCAATCAATTTTGGAAAATACATTACAGACAAAAAAGTACCTATTCTACAAACAGTATATATATATATTTGTGTCTGTATGTGTGTGTTTAATAATGTTTGATGCCGTGTAGAATGATAATAGTGACATTATGATAATTGCTATTAAAGCGATTTGGTGTACAGTAAACGCCAAACGTTCGTTAATTCCGTCTGATGTCGAATAAAGCTAGAAAGCTTCTTAAATTAAGTCAATGTGCGGACACGGTAACTAAGATAATAGTTTAACATCATGTAAATTGAGACGTTGAGACCCTGAAGAGTCGAGCGGTAAAATCCTCCTTAAATTTCAAATTTTACGGAGTCGCGTATAAATATGTGCTCGTTCACGGCAGAGACGAGCAATCTGCAATTTAGATTTGTTAGCGATGCGGTCACGCGTTGAAATGTGAAAATATGAAATTTAAATGACAAATCGGCTCTGTGGTCTCCTGCTTGCCCTGAGCTCCCTGAGATAAAGTGGAGCAAAATAAGATAAAATTGTCGACACGTGTCGACGATGAGCTCACGTTCTTTTCAATACAATGGCAACCAGCTTTCCTCTCGTTCGCGTCGTATGTGACAAGGTTTCGGAATATCTTTTGCACGAAGTGAGGCAAAATTAGGATGTGATTAAATGAAACATTTTAATCCAATTTGCTGGATCTCGCGTGACATTGTTAATAAATTAAATTCGTTATTATGTAGTTATTTATGTTGAAAATTAAGAAACCTAGCAGGCTAATTTGATGAAGGAAGGAAGAATATATTATCCTTATGTATCATATCATTTTGTAACCCTTAGCCCATAACAGTTAAATTTACGACTTTTGATATTTTTGCACACAAATAGACAATATAAAAAATGTATATTTATTTATTAATTAGTTATACACACATGTGATATAATATTTAACGTTAACCATTACTTCAACAAGAGTTGCGTGACTATTACTTGGTCAAGATTAAATCTTTCTTTCGCGTGACGGTGCAACTTGTCAGAACTTTACTTCGCCTCCTGTGGAGAAGCATGCACTGTAATTCTACGTCTACATCATAAGCATTTTCGCGGGCGTAAAAGTCGACAGTCAAAACACCGATAATGCGCGGTAGTCCATTTTTCATCTTTCGTATATAGATAATGGAATAATGGAAGGCCCCAACGTTATACTTCGCGGCACGCGAGGCGCCGCTTGCTGCCCGCCTGATGCACCCAGGGAGTGAAGTGCGATTCGACACGAAGCCGGTGCTCGGGTATGTGGATCAATTGTACGGTCCAAACTAGGCCAATGAATGCAATAGCGAGATGCAAGATCCGCATTCGCCGCCGCATGGACAAAGTTGCATCAAACTCAAAATATGCTCCTACGACGCGAAGGGGGTTGTGAGCGATGGCGCCGTCTGAGATGGGCAAACTTGAAACTCTAATAAGAATCGTGATATTGCATTTCTCGACTCAACTATCAATCTTCTAAATTTATGTTGATAAAGTTACAATAAAGGAGTACTTAACATATATAATATGAATATGAATAAGGGATAATATGAATGTCATCCCTTTGCATGAAAAAATATATTATACGATTAAAATTTCTAAAAATTAAAAGAATAATTTAATGAAAAGGATAAGATAAGAAATTATATTATTGAACTGTTTGTGTGAATGTATATTTTTATAGCAAATACATAGAAAAAGCATTTTCTGTCCATCCATAATTAAACATAGTTTAATTTTAGAGAACTTTTCCGACTGCTGCCAACCGAAGATTGTATTTTTTTATCTTTATTTTCTATGAAAATAAGGATAAAATAAATATACGAAAACATCCTTAATTTGATCATTATCTTTATTCTCTTAGATTTATCTCTGTATTTTCTTCTTATTTCTACTATATAATAAAGACCTTAGAGGATCAAAATATAAAGATATAACTATATTCGGAATTCGCCATAATTAGCCATTCCCTCGTGGAATCAAATCCCACTACGGTGTGCTGAAGCGTTCTTCGACAATTTGCTTACACAAGCGCGTAGGGAATAGTTGCGCGCATCATCGCTTACAAATGCGTCGAGTAAGGGGAGGTAGTTCAGCGCAAACCTATCAAACTATTCCCGTATTATCCCGCACAAACTGCATACTGGATTCAGAATTGCACACTACAATTTCGAGTGTTGCTTTAATTATAACTTTGATGTTTCAATATCATTTAGTCTGACGTAACAAACGGTGGATTTAATTATCGTATTTACTATTGGAAAATAAATAGATTGCTAGCTATCTTAAATTAAACATGAGCAACTTTAAAGTTTAATCATAATGTTAGAGTAATATTAAATTATTATTAATATTAAAGTTAATAAAATTAATTAAATTATAATCATAACATTTTTCAGTATTAATGAAAAAGGAAACACAATATTCTGTGCTTCTGTGATAGTCACACTTATATACATTTATTGTAAATAGAGATTATTTTTTTATACAAGAAAGATATGTGTTGAAAAGTTGGTTCGAATTATAAGTTTGCTCATTATTAAAAACTTTTCTTATTAAACTTGTTAGGTATTATTAGCCTTTCTCAATAGTTCAGTTTGTACAAGTTATACTTTTACATACAGTTTTCAACTTTTTGAACCGTACACTGTTAAAGGTTAGAGGATGAAATTTAAACCAATACCATGAGTTAGATTTATTTTGTTATTTTTAACTACCATGTGCGTCAAAATTTATTAGTTTGAAACAAAATAGGATTATTTTAACTCCATTGGTTTAGTCAAATTAACATTGTTTTAGTTAAATTAACTACATATTGAGTAGGAGCAGTGGCGACCTATGGAATAGTTAAAAATTACTCAAAATTGAGTTTAATTTAACCTTATGAATTTAGCAGTGTAAAAATGCAGAAGAAATATGCGATGTTGCACAAAAATTGGCCGCAGTGACACATGTTTACGCGTAAGAACATGCATGTTATTATTTGAAGAATTACATGCGTCGTCATACGCTGAGGAGACTGTGTTACGAGTGTCTGATATAATAATGTAAAGCTACGTAAAAAGAAGTTTTGTAATTTAAAAAATTCTGTTGTGTATTGAAATGGCTCGTAATTAATATGAAATCAAACATACATATGCGTGTAAGCTCTTTCGTCATAAGTTCTTCGTAAATTTTCAAGAATTTTATCGTACATTTTTCATGGAAATTGTGCAGCTGTAAGATTGAAAAAAAAAATCTTTCACACCTTCGCGTCGAGACAAGTTTTCATTTATAATTGAACACATCGAACGAGGAAAATTGTTTTTACACGCGTTTCTTCGCACAAACGCACACATATCTCGGTAACCGGTTGTCACCTATTACGATCAGCAAGGAATATTGCTGGAACGTTACAGCGTTCCGCAGAAAAACGTTTTAACACTCGATGAGGCCGCGAACGATCCGCGAATGCCAACGAGCGAATGTGAACATACAGGTTTTGATCCCGTGATCGCGCGATCGCCGCAAAAACTGGGCGACGCGTGTCCGTTGTTTATGTACGTGAAGCACGTACGACCGCGGAATGCGTATTTATCTACATTTTGTCTCGCCGTTGCATCCGCGTCCGACCGACAAATGACCGATACGCGCACGTATGCAACGTAAATTGCAATACACGGTCGGCGTAGTGCCGATGAGAATCGAGAGGCGTTAGATGACTCGACAGCCAAGCAATTTGCCTACGTTGTAAATTTTTTTACCTCTAAAATGAGATATATATATAAAAGCTATTTTTTCATCAATACTTAATTTTTTAATTTT